AGAAAGGAAAAAAGAAGAGGAAGGAAGACAGAAGGAAGGTTTCAAAGAATTTGATAAACAGCGGCACTAATCCAAACATTTGGTTTGAGTTAATCTTAGAATGGTTGTTGTATTAACAGACTGCAGAACAATAGTTCCAAAGAATAGGTTGCTTTGTTTTAAAGAGATATTGAAATGGATTGATTAAGATGCTGGATGATATTAATGACTTTGTGATAAACATGTGCATTAGTTTTTTCAACAAGGAAACAGAAAAACCAACTCCATGATAAAGTCAAGGCTCAGTGCCAAAACTAACATAAATGGGACATGACACTGCAAGCAAAGTGGGCCAAGAGAGGGTTTTGTTTTGAGTGGCACATATGTACTGACATTGAGCCTATGGGCAAAGAAAGTGCTCCTAATATAATGACTCTTCTAAGAAAAAATTATACATAAACATGTACTAGTCAGATTTTCTAGTGTGAGTTTATGGCAAGGAAAATGGTGCTTACAGGATCATTGAATGGGCTGGAGTCTTGAAAATTCAATTGCTGCCAGTAGATCTTTGCTTCCACCTTTAAAACTTGGACTTCTTCATGAGGGGAGAAAGCTGCAGAAAATCATCACAGAATTCACTGGGCACTCATCAGAGGACATACAGGCTGCCACACTCAAGTCCACTGAAGTCCAGGGTGCCAGCACCACTGGGCCACAGAAAGAGTGGCTCTTCCCTCCATTGCCCATTCCAATATGTTTCCAGATGGCTCTCCTTGGAGTACTCTAAATTGATTCTATAATCTTCTTGATAAGGTGGTGTAAGGGGAATGTGGTTAGAGCATCCTAGCTTGGCAAATAGTAGGCAGAGATGGACAAAATGGGATTACCTGTGGATTACTAGTAAGCAGAATCCTCCACTAAGGATATTAGCTAATTCGTTTCCCATCTTGAGAATCAACCTATAGGCAAAACATGTAAGATTTAAAACCAGCTACAATACAGGACATAAATATTGCCAATATTTAAAGAGAAAAATGAGATATTAAAGTATACTATTAACAGATAACAAATTAAATTAATGCAAATAAATGAAACAAAAATAAAAAAGTAGATAGAAATTCAGTTTCTTTGAGCAAAAGTAAGTGGATAATGCCTTATATACCTAAAAAATTGTGCTATAAGCATTAAATTTGAGTGGGAGGGGGAACCACTGAAAGAATTATAAACAGAAACAGAAGTAGGAAGTGGTATATGGGGTTGGGTGGGCGGGGTGGGGCTTGAGAACATTGCTTTTCATTTTAAGATCCTTTTATAGGCTTGATTTTTTTTTAAAAAGACCCACGTACAGATCTTGTGTTAATAAAAAATAAAATTTAAAGAGGTGGTTCATTTTCATTATCACGGTTATCAAATAAAGATATGACTGAAATTAAAAAAAATTAAGAAAATTTACCCCTCTAACGGTAATCTAACTCTGTTGCATTTTTGAAACTACTTTGCTCTATTTGAATCAAAGTGACCAGGATATTTTTCATTAATATTGAAAGTGATTCCAGTGAGTTACTCCATCTGCCCTTTGTACCCCTGCATTTTTAATCTTACCTGTTGCAGGTGTGTTACTGAGAGTAACAGGAGTTGCTGTGCTCCTCCTCTTGCTGTTTGTTTTCCAAAAGGTACGAAGCCCAGGCTGATTCAATGCCTACTTCAAGTAAAGGGGTCAGGACCAGGAGCAGGATGTACCCAATCAGACCAGGTATTATCTGAAGGTACTTGGGGAGGGGAGTTTAGCCAGGAATTACTTTATTTGAAATGTGTGTGCCTGAATGCTTTTACTTGTGAGCATATATTAATTCATAAAAAATTAGCATGAAGTAATGCAGAGAAAAGTAACAAGAGGAATGTGTGTGCCCAAATCTGTACTACTATGGTATGTTTAATACTCTTCCTTTTAAATAAGACTGGATGGATTGTTTTCTGCCTTTGTTTTTCCAAGCAAATAAAGCTACTGGAATCTGTAGAACCAACTTCAATAGGAAAGTAATTTTTCTCAAAGTGTACAAACTCTCAAGAGTTCCAAGGTCAAATTTAGGAAATACTGGTTAAATTTTCCTAATCAGACTTCCTTACCGTGGAGCTTCCCAAGAGTCGATTCTAACTTGCACATGTGGCATTCCCATCTTTATTTCACTAAGTATCTCATAGGATTAAGATTCTGAGAAATATATTTTAAAAATTCATGTGTTTAAATCAGGCAATTATGAAAAAAAAAGCATGGTAAGGAACCACTTGATAGATGCAGGCAGAGGAATTGCTGTTTTATAAAATAACAGAAGAAGGAATAATTTGATTTTAGTAAAAATTTATTCAGACATACTGTACAAAATGCAAGAAGAGAAGACAATGAATCCAGTGATAAGACAAGTATCTGTCCATTCATCCATTTACCTATCATCTAGCTGTCATGTGTCTGTCTGTTTGTATAACATTATAATTCTAAGTGTCTTGTCTGCAGAGTAGATAGTAGATCGATTCAGTTAATAAAATGTAATTTTGAAATCAGTGTCCTAAGTAAACTTACTTTGATTGTTGAAATAAAAACTAGTCATTTCTATATAGAAGTACTTATTTTAAAGTGAATTTTCTTGACTGTTGATTCCAGAAACAATATTCTAAGAACTACAGCATTGTAGCTAAAATTTAGGCAAATATATGTATAACATTAACAAGAGATAAAAGGCAGTGTTGTTCTTTAGATAAGAAAAATCTGATTTTTATCTAGTCTAGACAGGACTTCCCTTTAGTTAATTAGAAAATTTGTAGCAGGAACTTAAGGGCAAGTCCTAGGAAAGGAAGAATAAGAACACAGTGGAAATATGAAAATAAGAATTCTCTTCACAATACATTGGCTTTGTTCTTTTCTCAGTAGCCGCCTTTTATGCTACAAATTCCCAGAGTTTTCTTTATTATTTGAAGCATTATTTTAAAAAGAAACATGGCCTGGTAGCTAATAGTTGTTTGACTGTTTCCACGGAAGAGTTTTTGGTGACAGGGCAATATAGTGTGGGCAAGACTAGAGAAAGGACTCATAACAGATATTTTGTTGTCATGTGCACACAAAGTTATTATTTAGTAGAAACTTTTAGTCATCTTATTATATGGAGATACCTGCATGGCATGGCAGACCTCTCCTGTCTCGCCCTCTTATCCCCTCAGCAGTGCATTTTGGTCTATCTGTTCTGCTCCCCACTCTGTCTGGTGAATCCTCTCACCCTCCTGTGCCTCTGGCCTATACCCTAGTTCTTGTATAAAAATAAATAAATTTAAAAAAAAATAAAAAAATAATAAAAGGACACTTTCTTAAAAAATCACTTATCACCATTGAATTTCCCCTAACACAATTATAAATAAGATTATTACAGGGAAAAATTTGAAGTGGGTCACCTAAATCTCATTGTAGCTCAACATTTTAAATTTCCTTCTAAAAAGCCCTTTTTCTGAGAGTATTAAAATTATCAGTATGACCATTTTCTTTAATGATGTCTTTAATGATTAAGAAAAAGACAGAATGATTTCCCTTCCAAGAAGAAAGAAATCTTCCCACTTTCTTTTCCTGAATTTCTAGTTCTTCATTTCAAAAGAAAATCATAGCATTTTATTGGTTATCACAGACAACATGAAGAGAGCAAAAACAAATGAGAATTTAAATTATTACCCACCAATGAATTATAACATTGTTAATCTTTTGGTATCTTAATTCTCAAATTTTGTTTATTTCTAAATAATCTTACATACCTGCATATTATTACTTTCTGTTTTATTCTCTGCCATAGAATCTGGAAGAAATGGAAAGAGCAGTCACTTTTGCTTTTTGTGAATGTAGCCAAATGTACTCCAAGTTTTTTATTTAGGATTTTTGTGTTGACTGACCAAAGCAAAAATTTCCAGGTAGTCAGAAAATAATCTCCCCTTCACTTTCATATTTGGAAATATCTAGACTGAGAAAGGTAAAAACAGCACTTTGAATTTTGTTTTGTTTTACTGTGGGAGAGTATGTGTAATAGGGCAGATCATGATGGGCAGTAATCCCAAAGACTGTCAAAAGGTGTGATTTGTTGATGTCAAGGCAGAATTTCCAGGCGGCAGAATGTCAAGGAAGCAGAGCGTTATCTACTTTCTAGTGACTATGAGAACTTGAGCATGAGCTCTAGTGTGGGCTAGAGATAGAGGCCTCTCCCCAAATTGTCTAGATGTGTTAAGCATTGGAGAATCATCCAAAATACAGAGAAGGGTGAGGTCTCCTTTGAAACCACCTATGACTAGCATTTTTTGACAGCCAGGCAGGTAAGGTTTAGACCAGTGTTCTCTGCTTCAGAGAGAAGAAGGTGACCAATATAGCCTTAATTATCCCCTCAGCTTAAATAAAATTTTTTTCAGGATATTTTGATGTTATTGTTGTATATATATATATATATTTGAAGCAACACTGCATTATAACATGAGATCAGGTATGTAATATGATAAACCAACCTCTGTATACTGTATTTAAAGTTCACCACTTAAAGTCCTTGACTAAATTTTAACCAGCTGTCTTCCAGACCTCCAGGTCCCTGCCTTTCTTTTTCTTGGGGTATTGTGATCAGAAAACATGCAATTGTAAATACTTTTTCTATCGCTTTGAGATATAAACCCTCTGCTATCCACAGGTGTCTTTCTCAAAGACTGGAAGTATCTCTAAAATGTAATCATCAGGAAAGAACGGGCATCTATTTCTCAGGCTGTGTGTGACAGTAGAAGTCTAACTTCATTAAGCACCAATTAGCAAACACAGATGGCATGACCATAGAGTCCAACCTCCCTCTCTAACTTCTCTATCTTATCCCAGTTCTTAAAAACTCTCCTGCCCATGGCTCCAGTGAGGTTGGTTTCAACAGGGAACTGTTGCAAATCTTGATCATTACTGCAATCGTCAAGTCTTTCTTGCCATTTTTAAGAAGCATGTAATTTTTCTCTTTATTATTTTTAAAAATATGGAATACCTCATGAATTTGCATGTCATCCTTGTGCATGGGCCATGCTAATCTTCTCAGTATTGCTCCAATTTTAGTATATGTGCTGCTGAAATGAGCACTGATTTTTCTCTTTAGCAAAGAAATGTGACATTGTTTGTAGCAGAGTATTAAGAAATATAATTAATCTTTTGCCCTCCCATCCTTCTTTCCTTCCTTCCTTCCTTCCTTTTTCTCCCCCTCCCACCTCTCCCACCTCTTCTTCACCATTGCTCCCTCTGGACAATTTACTGAGACATTAATTCTGGCTTGGTTTCCTGCTGAAGGAGACATGAAAGAGAATCCCACTCCTTCCATCTAAGGAAACAACAGACCTCTGTTCCAAGTTTCCTTTGCTTGAGGTGAATTAACTATTTTCAGGGTTTCAGGGTGCTCCCCAAGGCTTTTGTTCAGGGATTCTGCAAAACTTTGAAAGAGAAGGCAGGACTAATCAGAGATGATTGGGGAAAAATTTACTCTGAGCGAAAGTACTTTGTAGATGGTGAATATGAGGGAGGGTCTAGGTCATTGGTGTAGAGGTCACAGCGGATACTCTGACTCTCCGGGTTTGGCAGCGGAGTGGAGTAATGGACAAGTGACTAGGGGAAGAATGAATACAATGTCATGAAGCTTGACCACTACCTCACACCATACACAAAAATCAACTCAAAATGGATTAAAGAACTAGACATAAGACCTGAAACCATAAAATATATAGAAGGAAATATAGGCGAAACACTACGTGATTTGCACATCAAAGACATCTTTACAGACACATCACCCAAAGCAGTGATAGTGAAGGCAAAGATAAACAGCTGGGACTACCTCAAATTAAAGAGCTTCTGCACAGCAAAAGAGACAATAACAAAAACAAAGAGAAACCCCACCAACTGGGAGAACATTTTTGCACCCAACACTAATGATAAAGGGCTGATCACAAAAATCTGCAAAGAGCTGATGAGACTCAACAACAACAAAGAAAAGAATCCAGTCAAAAAATGGGCAGAAGAGCTAAAAAGAAACTTCTCTGAAGAGGAAATGCAAATGGCCAACAGGCATATGAAAAAATGTTCAACATCACTTGTAATCAGGGAAATGCAAATCGAAACTACCATGAGATACCACCTTACACCAGTGAGAATGGCACATATTAAAAAAACTAGCAACAACAAATGTTGGCGAGGGTGTGGAGAAAAAGGAACTCTTCTGCACTGTTGGTGGGAGTGCAAACTGGTCCAACCACTGTGGAGAGCTGTGTGGAGATTTCTGGACCTACTAAACATAGAGCTTCCATATGATCCAGCAATTCCACTCCTAGGTATTTACCCAAAGGACATAGAAACATCAATTCCAAAGAACACCTGCACCCCTATGTTTATAGCAGCACTGTTTACAATAGCTAAGCTTTGGAAACAACCCAAATGCCCAAAAATAGATGACTGGATCAAGAAGATGTGGTACATATATACCGTGGAATATTACTCAGCATTCAAAAAAGATAAACACATGCAATTTGCAGCAACATGGATGGCGCTGGAAGGGATCATGCTCAGCGAAATAAGCCAGAAAGAAAAAGAAAAATACCGGATGGTCTCACTCATAGCAGGAATCTAGAAAACTTAAATAAGGGACCAGGAAAATGAATAACTATAAGAAAGTGAAAATCAAAATCAACAAAAAACTATGAACCAGAGACACTTTTAGGGGGGCAGGGGCAGGAGGGGAGGGATTGGGGTCAGAATGGGGGGGGGCTGCAATTGTATGGGGAATATAAAAATAAAATTTATTATTTAAAAAAAAAAAATCTTTTTCCAAATTTCCTTTCCCCAATCTTATTACTTTATTTTATTGCATAGAAAAATAAGTTGTTTACCAAATCTCATATTTTCGAGAATATAGGACATAATTAAAAAAAATCTGTTTTGTGCTCTAACTAGCTTATTATTTCAGGTCAAGTAATACTAGAGTTATTACTAATAATGACAAAATTAATAATTAGGTAACTTAATGTGTGCTTCAGAATGGCAATAACTAATATTTGTGAGAATTATTTAAACACAGTACTTTTGTGTAGGTGCTTTAGTTTCTTTTCTAGAGGAAAATTGAACCTATCAGATATCAGGAAGTTTTCTTAAGTTCCATAAGCCTTGTTACCTGTAAAATGAAGAAAAGAGTTATATTCACATTGGGGTTATTTTCATTAAATGAGATCCAAATGAGGCATTAGAACATTACCTATTACATAGAAATGCCAATCAGTAGTAGTAGCTTTAATAATAGTAGTTTAATCTTCAACCAAAATTAATGGGAAATGAGAAGAATCTGTATCAAATGTATATGCTTATCTAAGTCATCTTGGCATATTCTGATCTTCTGATGATGTTTGGTGTTTTTATTTAGAAAATAATGCCATATATAATCTCTCACATGGTTGTTCTTTTGGAATAATAATCAAATAAGATTGCACATGTGAAAAGAAATTTTGCAAGGATATAACATTATTTTCATGACCATTAGCTAGCATTTCAGAGATTTGCGTTACTATAAAAGAGTGAATGAAATAGATACTTTTGAGAAGAAAAACTGAGTTGTTTATGTTTAAGAAGAAAATTTCAAAACAAAACTAGATCTATCTCCAATGGATGAAAGAAATATATCAAAGAAATGTCTATGACATATTTAAGGAATAGGGCCTCCCCTGGTGGCACAGGTGGTTGAGTGCCACGCTGTGAAGCTGTCCGTAGTCTCCACAGCACTGGTTCTATTCTGGCTGGCTGACGAGGGTCCCATATGGCACTACAGACCTCTCCTATTGCGTCCACTGCTTCCCTCAACAGGGTATTTCGTCAGTCTACCTGTTCTGTTCCCCACTCTGTCTCTGGTGAATCCTTTCACCCTCCGGTGCATCTGGCCTGTACCCTGGTTCTTGTATAAATAATTAAATAAATCTTTAAAAAAAAGACATATTTAAGGAATAGATGATTCACAACATATTTAAATTTCTCTAGAGAAGAAAACATTGTGAATGTCTTAAATTTTACTGAATTCACATATCAACTCATTTTACCAAAGTATAACATTGGAATTTAACAAGACTCTCCATTCTACTTCCCCTCAACAAAGAAAACCAGCAAACAATTTTAAAATGAGTACTCTGTAAAATAAATCCTTAATATAATGCTAGCACAGTGAAATAAGTCCTTAGTAAATTAATTCAATCAGAGATCTTATTTTCATAACAGAATCCACTAAGCCTTCCGCAAAAATGAAGTTACTAAATGTATCTCACATAGTCTCACAGAGGCTCTGTAGCTGAGGCTGATGCCCACACCCAACCAGAGGGCTGCTATAAGGAAGATTTTTTGGTCCTGTGGTGGGACACAGACTCCACAGCTGTGCAGCTGATGTGGAAAATAGGGGAACCTCGCCACTTCTGCTTTTAAAAACTGGACAATACATGCCAGTTTTGAGCTTATGCAACGCTTTCTTCTCCATGGTCTTGCACATTTGCCTATCCCACAGGTATAGCTGATTGATCCTAGCTTATTATGTTAGACATACCTTTGTGGGGAAGGCTGAATAAATGGGTTTCTGTCTTCAAATTTAGGGATTCTGAGATTCAATAAAGCATAAACTTTTCCAAACCTAAGAAGGTTGCACAAAACTGGTCACTGTCTGAACCAAGTAGTGCAAATTCCACTCAAGAAGAATTCAATATTAGAAAATACCACAAAAATTGATCAAGTTGGGCCTCCCCGGTGGCGCAGCAGTTGAGCGCTGGGTTGCGAAGCTGCCCTCAGCCTCTGGGGCGCCGGTTCAATCCCTGGCTGCTCCCCAGCCACTGGAGGAGGGTCCCACATGGTGTGCAGACCTCTCCTGCCTGCTCTGCTTCCCGTTCTGGTGAATTCTCTCACCCTCCCACGCTTCTGACTGTACCCAGTGCTTGTATAAATAAATATAAATAAATGTTAAAAAAAAAAACATTGAAGACATTTCCACTTTAAAAAAAATTGATCATGTTAATAATTCACATAAATAAGTTGTCTTGAACATAAAAAAATTTGATTTAAATTTAATATCAAATTTGGATGAAAATTTTAGTAAATTAGGGCTAGAAAGAGAATTTCTTGATAGAATATGAATTATTTTGCTTAAAATGAAAGCCAACAACATACCTAGTATTGATATTAGCTATTATTTTTATCACCATTGTCCTTTGAAAAATCAATGCATTAAGACATAAAATAATGACATAGAGATGCATTAAAATATTAGTATTTGCTCTGTTTTTTTTTCTTTTAAACAAATGAGGAAAGTCAGGTTAAACAAACTAACAAATAGGTAAAGAAATAAGTGGACAATAAAAAATAGAAAACTCAATTTATAAGCAATCTATGGGAATTATTGTGGGTTGCAAAGCCGTTCAAAAATGTAAACGTCTATGAAAAAATTTTAAAAAGTCTTTGTTATAAATCTTCATTAAGGGAAATGAAAGATTTCAGTAAGTGGCAATATATCTAATTTACTTGGATCAGACAATTTTATTCAGGCATCAATTCTAAGTTATTTCAGTTAATGTAAAAGGGTCATTTTTGAAACTGACTCAGTAATTACAAACTTCACTTAGGTGAATTGAATTTCTATGGATTTGACTGTATATGGATTTAACACACAGCTCCTAGGAACATGTTTATGGTTTACCTTATTTTTTATATGCCACCACTTTTCTCAATATTTTACTATATACTACCAAAAATCCATTCTGAAGACTTGGCACCACTATTTATGCAATAAAAACCAAAATTTAGATAAAGAAAATGTAAAAGAACACCACTTTTTGAACAACTGTCATTATTCTGAAAATTTGTTGCTTAGAAGGATGTCTTCATCCACTCCAGTAGTTAGGGGTATTTCATAACAGATTTTTAATAATCTCATCAAAATATGAAATAGTATTATAAAGACAAGTCATCCTCCAAAAAGAAGAACTTTCTGCTCATGCTTGATTACGGAATTTGTTATTTGAAATGATCTGGTAGATTGCAGCTCTCAAAAATAAGTATTTTTTGAGCTTGTACATCATCATCGATTGTATCTGGCATTACAAGGAATGAATGTCAATGACAAAAGCAAAATTACTAGCGTGTCTAAAGGACCTTATTTTTTCAAAAGCTCTCATTTTAAAGATGGATTTGATGGCATCTGACATTGTTTTAGTTAAACAATAGACTGGTTGGGCCTCCCCTTCTGGCGCAGGAGGTTGAACGCCATGCTGTGAAGCTGTCTGCAGCCTCTGCAGCGCCAGTTCGATCCCGGCCCTCCAGGGAGATTCCCACATGGCACGGCAGATCTCTCCTGTCTCACCTGCTGCTCCCCTCAGCAGTGTATTTTGTCAGTCAGCCTGACAAAAGTCTGCCTGTTCTGTTCCCCGCTCTGTCTCTGGTGAATCCTCTCACCCTCCCCACGCATGTGGCCTGTACACCGATTCTTGTATAAATCAATCAATCAATCAATCAATCAATCAATCTTCAGGGAAAAAACCCAACAACAATAGACTGGAGCCTCAGATTATGAAATATTTTAATTTTATAGTAATGTTCATTTTTATAATGCTTATTTTTAAAATGATAGATGATTCTTAGTTTTTTGTATATAATAATCATATAAGAAATCACCACACTATTTAAAAATAGTCCAATAATACACACATTATTTTACAATAAGGAAACAAAGATTACACACATTTGCACAAAAGCTATTTACTGTCTTTTCTAAATCTGAGGCTCACTTTACTGGTATATCTAACCTAGATCTCATTAATTAATTTTTTTCAAACTTCCTGTTTATGTAGTTTTAGTTCCTTAGCCAGAATTAGGTAAAGTGAAGTCCTTAACATTCTAAACATATTAACTTGTATATAAACAGGAAGATTCAAAGTTGGTTAGCTGAAGCAAGGGCCAGACTTAATAATAAATTGTAACTTTAGATTGTAAAAAAATTAGATTTTGTGTATTAGCCAGAAAAATTTCTCTGATTTTCATTTTCTCAGTTTTTCTCATGTGACCATGCAAGAATATAAAAAGTGAGCAATGTGCTTAGTTGAAAAACATCCTGGCTAAGAATAGATAAAGAATAGAATTGAATGCATGTTTCCAGACACTTCAATTAAGAAGTCAAGGTGATTATACTGCACATTCACTCCACTACTGCATTATTTAAACATTTTCATGCAGGGACAAGATTATGAAAAATTCACAAGCTTAGTAAGTTAGGGTGAACACAGTCAACTTCATTTTAAAAGTTTTTAAAATCTGTGAAAGTTTTGAATCTAAGTGACAGATATTGTATGTTGTTCATTTGTTCACATCTGCAGTATCAAGTATGGTGATACTTAAGGTGGTTTGCACATTGCAAGGGATCATTACAAAAGTCCATTTCAGACATATAAATGGCAATTTTTCTAGCTATTATTTATTTAGGTGAACAGCATTCTGTTACCCAATTTAAGTGCTATTGATATCAGAGATACCCACTGTGGCTATATAACAGATGTATTCTCAATAAGCACTCAGTGGTTAAACTTGGCATTTTTACCTGTGACCTTGGGTGTCCTAATAGGTGCTGTGCATGTTTCTCACACAGTTTTGGAAGATATTTAGATTACTTTCCACCATTCTAGGGAGATGTTCTAATGTTTTTCCTAAGCACAATAATCATATTCTTTCTTTCATTAAATTAACTACATGTGAGGGGAGAAAGATGAAAATATATGAACAATTTGTCTAGCTCAGGGTAACCCAAGTTAAATTTAGGATATGAAATTTCTACTTATTGCCTGCTTTATCGTGTCCCATGAACACACACTTGCAGCTAAATAAACCTAACTGTGTTTTTCTTTAGCAGGAGTAGAAATAGTCTACAATGGTAGCAGTCCAAATACTGAATAGGTTGCCAATCACCCTCATTGTCTCCCACCCAAAGTACCATTGGTGAGATAAAATGGCTTGTATTCAGTTAAGCTTAAAATAAAAAATGAATGTCTTATTCTTGTATATTTTTTAACTGCAATGTGAATTATTCTATTTAAAGTTTCCACTGAACTAGAATGAGATTCAATTGTCTGGCCTTGCCAACATGTAGGGCAAAATTCACCATATTCTCTTTACCACGCAGGTGCATCTGGATGGCATGGTTTTATTGTCATAAGAGGTCAACATTTGGAACTTTCCTTAGGTATGCCACTTTTTAAGTAATCCTCATCAATGTTGAAAATTGTTGCCTTTGACATGTGGGAGATTTTACACTATGTGAAGCCAATCAAATTCCAGGTTTTTGCTTGCTGGAAAACACAGCAAAATTTTCATTGCCCTTGAAACTTCCCTTGGCTCTTGAACTTTACTATGAAACAAACAGCTGGTCTCACAATAAGAAGCTGTGATTGATTGAAAAGACATTTTCATGAATGGAGTAATTGAAAATATATGGTTTCATTTCATATATTTATGGTAATGCACAGTCTGCACTGTAAATGTACCAGAATGGCTATAAGCATTTCAGATAGAGTCATGGATCATTGACTGTTCAGATTGGTTCATTCTTGCACACAGAGAAAGTAAATGTGTGTGAGTGTGTGTGGTAAAATGAAAGTATGTAAAACTAAATTGTAGTTGAGACTTTAAATCTGATCAGAAGGAGGGATAGCCAGTAAGATTTTCCTGTTTAATTTCCTGTAAGGATGACAATTCACCAAGAAACAATTTTCAAGATGCGAGGGATTCTGATGGGGGATACATTTCTCCTTCAGTGCTTTATGTGTTCATTTTAGTGGGAACAAAGACTCTTCATTTGCTCTTTCTCTATTTCCTAAGTCAGGAGGAGAGTAATAGTGACCTGGGTCAAGGACAAAATGGACTCCTCAGAGTCTTTGTGGGATAACAGCACCAGACACAGGCATTTTAATGTAAACACTGAGGCAGTAACAGTGCAAGGGTTTATACATGACTGGTTGATTAGATTTTGTCTTTTGGGGGTAAGATCTTTCTCTGATGATTAACTCTCATTTTGAATTCTCTTTCTATTCTCCTGTGAAGCTGAAAGGAACTCAGGGGTTTTCTGTTCAAATAAAATACTACCCTAGTGTTTTATTTCTCAAGCCATGAGGAAATATTCATAATAAGTTGAGAACAAATTAGATAGTTTATTGCTGAAAGCTTGAGGGGCAAGTGCCTTCAATGCTTTTGCTTAAGCTCATCTTTTCTGGATTCTTCTCTCTTTCCGAATGCTACAATCTAGTGGACCTACATGTTAACTGGGGGAAGGGAATCCAGGGAGCTACTCCACCTCTGCATGAAGCAGGAGGAGGAGGGGGAGTGGGGGATTAGGTCTGTCTTTTTATTTTTTAAAGTGTTGTAATTTTTTAAAAAGATTTATTTATTTATACAAGCACTGGGGTACAGGCCAGATGTGTGGGAGGGTGAGAGAATTCACCAGAGACAGAGCAGGGAGCAGAACAGAAACACTGTTGAGAGGAGCAGCGGGTGAGACAGGAGAGGTCTGCTGTGCCATGTGGGAATCTGCTGCAGAGGCTGCGGACAGCTCCGCAGTGCGGTGCTCAACCCGCTGCGCCACCTGGGAAGCCCCAATTAGGGGCCTGTCTTAATTTGAAAGTACTTTACTTCCCCAGTCTAACAAACTTGCCATGGCTAGGATGGAAGTCTCTATTTTAGATTTGGGATGTCCTTTTCTGTTTGTGTGTGTAAATGTAGTTATGTGCATACACAAAATTATAAGGCAGGAGGCACCCATTTTGGAGTGGGTGAGTCTATGGCAGGTGGCTAGAGGGGAGCTCAGGAATCCCAGCCGTCTTTGTCCATGGGATAAACTGGATATCATCTCTCCAAGAGCCTTGTGTGCGGCACTTAACACTTTGCTCTTGTCTTACTCTTGCACACGTTCAAGCTTTAATTTCTTATTTGGCTAAATGTTGTTTGGGGCTGAATCTATATCTAATTCAGCTTTAATTCCCAGAAAAGCTTATACATAAAGCAACTCAAATATTTTTGTAGATTAACAGATATGTATAGCAACATTTAGTCAAGCCATGAGGAAATATTCATAATAAATTGAGAACTAGACGTTTGATTGAACAACTTTGAATTTGATATCCCTAGAGACAGAGATTAGAGTTGGTGTTAGATTAATACCTACATTTTTCAAAAGTGTTTTGTTTTAGAAAATCAGAATGCACAAATGTAAATAGAAAATTATAATGAGCCTGATTTACTCATCATTGATTTGCAATAATTGTCCATCTGTGAGCAATCTTATTTCATCTCTACCCCTACTCATTCTCCCCAAACTCAGATTATTTTGAAACAAATCCACAGCATCATTTCTTTTCAACTCTAAATATTTCATAATACTAAATGCATTTAAAATTCTATACTGCATATCTTTTTATGCTCACTATTTTATTGAAATAATAAAATTTATATCATAATGTGTTTGGGGTATTTACTAGGCTACTTAGGTAAATTTAGGAACTTCCAGAAGCTGGCTGTGAATCCTATGGTGAGGCAGTTAGAATTGTGATGACTAAGCTATACAAGATGACATTATAGAAGAGCTTAAAATAAAATTAAGAGAAGTTCCATGTGTTCCCTGTCACTCTGATTTGAGTGCCAACATTCCAACATCGAATCAATTTTTCCAGACCTAGTTCAAGTTTAATAACACATTGTGGTGGCCAGCATACCAAATGACATCTAGTCTTGGATCTGCCATAGGCACCACTTCCAACATCTGGAATGGTTAAAGAGCAACCCCCAGAAACCACAGTGAAAATCCAAGTGGAGACAGAATCACAGACCCTGGGGTCCTCATGAGTATCAGTCTGCTACCAATCACAGCAGGGTCGCTGTGACTCAGCTGGTGGAATCACCCTGTTTTCTAAGCAATCCCGGAAAATGCCGTTAAAAATCGTGTAGACCCCACATTTGTATAGCCACCTCATTTAGCAGAGTGCCTATACATGTGTAGTAGGAAGTGAATATCTTGTGAATTGGCTGAGTTAGATGGTGAGCAGAAATAGAACAGCACTTAGAAATCAGAGTTGTAATGGGTACATTGAAACAGTTCATGAAATAGCATTTAACTGCTTATTTTCAGAAAATGCCAACAGAAGCAGAGACATTTTTAGCATGTGGAAAACAATAATAAGATGAATGATCATGATTTCATATTACATGGTCAAAAATTGGTGTATACTCTGTAGATTTACAAAAAACATGTATATTTGAGGTGGATAATGGGAACACAGCGGCAGGTGGGAACCTGGCTTCTAAGGAGTTGGAGGAAATCATGTCAATGGATTCCTTCCAGCAGAGGTGCAGACACACAGATTTCTGCTGACAAATTTCTCTTGGAAGGGGCCATGCAGGGTCCACATTGCAATTCACAATATTGTGCTGGGAGAGAACAGGGAAAGGGTTTGATAAGATTTGTGTTACAGAACAGTATACTTGATCATGTTGTCCCAGGGTACTTATTTATTCAAATTATCCATTATAGACTTTTTCATTTTTCAGAATTAATGGAATCTTTATGGCATTATTAGGAATAAGGGCAGGGATGTCGATGTATTTGATGACTATAATATAAGTGAATCCTGTCTATCAATCAGTTTTCTTCCATGTAGGTTTAAAGGGCTATGAAATGGGTGACTTCATTTAGAGATGCAGAAAAGTCCATTATTGCAAACCAGAGCTCTGGTAAAAGCCAAGGTGGAATAGGACTTAGACTAGACTTAGCATCCTGTGTTAAACTTCCTCCTCCATTTACCTCTGTTCTGCCCCCTTTTAAAATTTGGGTCTAGGACAGACTCCTTTTCTCCACATCCTCACCAGCACTTGTTGTTTCTTGTCCTTTAATATGGACCATTTTAATATTTCCTCCATTAAAAAAATAATAAAAAAATGGGGACTAGAATGTTTTGGTATGTCCAATAGGGGGATGGTTAGCCTTAGACAGAGTTTTCATGGAATCTGGGAGAAGAATGGGGATAAAGTCTCCAATCGGATGTTCCAGTTGGCTCATTAATTCTGTTATGATGAGGGAAGGAGCTACTTTTGACTCATGTGTCCACACCTTAGAAGGCAGACTGACCCTTGAAAGGATCACTATGACCCGTTCAACCCAATTAATAACTTCTTTTTTATGGAGGGGAGCTAGGAGGGAGGTGAGCAGAGACAAGAAGGGTGGCTATATGATTGCAGCTTCTATTTTGTTATTTATTGGTGGTTTAATAAACATTAAAGAATTGCCTTTAATGTTTCTCCAGGCTCATCAGCCTATCAGCACAATTAAGGTCACCAAACATCAACCTAAATTTTGTTGACTTAATACTTAATCCAAAAACTCTATTTCCTAGAAATTTATCTCCAGGTAATATTAGAAGTCACTAAAGAACATGCAAAGCACTCCTTCAGTAGTTAGCCACACTATTTTGCTGCCCAGAGATATGCTACACCAAAGGTGCTTCTTCTATTGCTTTGTCAGTCACAGTTCTATGCTGGTGTGTACTGTATTCTTAGAGCTACCAACGTTTTGTGGTAGTTTGGAAGAAAAGCTCTGTCCTGTTAGATTGACTCTGTGAGGAGATTGTAAGTGCAGCCTAGACTCAGCTGATTAGTAAAACTAGTCTCTTTGTTCTTATTTATAACCCAGATATGCGTGCAAACTCAGTTAAGTATTGCTTGAAGTAACTGCTATCACCACGGTTCTCAAGATCGCTTTGCTCCTTTTGACACTTAGGTTTGTTATTGGATAAGGGTTACTATGTCACCACTGCTTTTCCTTTTGCAAAGGATATTCTGAAGTTTCATTTGCCTTCATGAAATAGATTGCTAGTAGGTCACATCTACTTGAAGTCCTGCAGTGGAGAAAGCTTTCATTTGTTTCCTCCCGTGTCTTTTAGGGCCATTGCAAATGGCCTTACAATGGCTTCTCCCACCTGTCTCTTTGTGTGACATGCCTGGACTCTGAATCCCAAACTAGAGTTAATTAGGACATCATTCATCATTGTATATAACTGCAGTGCCTTCTCTTTCTTAAACCGTGATTCCAATGCCCAACACAAATGAGTTTGACCACAGATTAATCAGAGCTCCACTTAGAACCCATTTCAGCACATGAGGTCTTCCATTCCAGTGCATAGACTGCTCCAGAAGGAGGTT